AGCTATGAATTGAGTTTCTTTCGGCAGACATCCATGTCTGTATTTGAAGTAGCTTTATAAATTCCATCCCACTTCGCAGTCTCCGGGGGATTTAAAAACCGTAAACCGAATTTCAGATCTTGCCACTGGCTACTTTACATGCTTCTGACGATTCTCTTTCTTCACTTTTTTTTTACAGACTGTACAAAAAAAGACTTTAAATTGAATTCAAAATGTCTTTCTAGCTAACTATAGCTTCTTCCTTTAACTATTCATTAACTATCTTTAGTTGGAAAAAAAATGTAAATTGTAAACATTTTCTATCTTAAATTAAAATTAGTTACAAATTTGTGAGTTTATATATTCTTTAATAACATTATCAAATATATTGTTAATTAAATAAAGCAATGTGATTATGTAACGTAAACTGCTGATGAAATTTAATAATAACGTTGATTTTTAATTGAATACCTAGGGAGGAAGATAATGCATTTTAAAGATCAAGAAATATTTTGTACTTACTCGTATATTCTGTAATCGTAATGTTGATTTTTTGGCCGCGTTGCCATAGAGAAGAACACACATTTTAAAGTAAACCAAAACATTCTGTAATCGTAAGGTTGATTTTTTTTGGCCACCGGTGTCATGGAGAATTGATATTGTTTGCCGCTCTACGGTCATCTTGTGCGCATGAGGTCTAAACAGACCGGGACCTTCAGTTTAAAGTGGATTCCGAACTACTAACAAACATCCATACCACCACCAGGATTCGAACCTGATACCTGTTGTACCAAAGACAAGAGGGCTAGCCATTTGGCCATCAACAAGTCACGATCAACAAGTTTGAGAAATTCATGTATGTAAATTAGAAACTAGGTCCTGAATGGGCGAGTGGCTAGCGCTCTGGCGCTCGGTACCACAGGTTATCGGTTCGAGTCCCGGAGGTGCCACGGACGTTTGTAGTGGTTTGGAATCCACTTTAAACCATAGGTTCCGGTCTCAAGGGATAGTAGAGCATTGCGCGGGTATTGTTACTCCGCGTCCCTAACTTATCCTCAAGCTACACCGACCTCCTGGGTACTGCTAAATGGGTAACGTCGTCAGGTAACGGGGGTATCGTAACGCCTTAAAGCATCTAAGACAATTGCCAAAGTGTTTGCCAGCGGCATTAGAACAAAAAAAATTAGAAGCTAGATTTAAAAGTTCGTCAATTGACAAACATGAAACATTCATTAAAATGTATCAAAGTTCATCATTCTTTTTAAAAAATACTTAAATAAATAGTCCATAACAGACTGTCATATTGATTTTCCACGGCGCTGGATTGAGTTTCTGTCAGCAGACACCAATGTCTGTTTGTGAAGTAACTTTATAAATTCCATCCCACTTCGCAGTCTCCGGAGAGCTTAAAAACCGTAAACCGAATTTCAGACCTTGCCAGTGACTACTTTACATGCTTCAGACGACTCTCTCACTTCACATTTTTTTTTTACAGACTGTAGAAAAAAAAGAGATTTTAAATTGAATTCAAAATGTCTTTCTAGCTAACTATAGTTCTTTCCTTTAACTATTCATTAACTTTAACTATCTTTAGTTGGAAAAAAAATGAAAATTGTAATTTAATTCATTCTTAAATTAAAATTAGTTACAAATTTGTAAGCTCATCAAATCTTTAATAACATTATAAAATTTGTGTTAATTAAATAAAGCAATGTGATTATACTGCTGATGATGAAATTTAATTATAACTTTGATTTTTAATTAAATACCTATGGAGAAAGATTATGCGTTTTAAAGATCCAGAAATATTTTGCACTTACTCGTATATTCTAAAATCGTAACGTTGATTTTTTGGCCACGTTGCCGTGGAGAAGAATGTGCATTTTAAAGAACACGAAATATATTCTGTAATAGTAAAGGCGATTTTTTTGGCCATGGAGATTTGGTTTAGTTTGTCGCTCTACGAGCATTTTGTGCGCACGATGACTAAACAGACCGAGACCTACGGTTTAGAGTGGATTCCAAACCCCTCACATGCATCCATGTCACAGCCAGGATTCGAACCTGAAGCTTGGGATACCAACAACCATAGCGTTAGCCAATTGGTCACTATGCCATCATCATCAAGCTTAAGAAATTCATGTATGCTTATTAGAAACTAGATTTAAAGTTCATCAATTGAGATTAGTTTGGATTACTGCTCTACGGTCATCTTGTGCACACTTTAGGTTAATTAGACCGGAACCTACAGTTTAAAGTGTATTCCGAACCTCACGCAAACATCCATGCTATGGCCAGGATTCGAACCTCAAGCATATGGTACAATAACCAGAGCGCAAGTGACTTGGCCACCAAGTTGCCGTAGAGAAGAATATACATTTTAAAGAATACGAAATATATTCTGTAATAGTACGGGCAATTTTTTTCGCCATGGAGATTTGGTTTGCCGCTCTGCGATCATTTTGTGCGCACGAGGACTAAACAGACAGGGACATACAGGTTAAAGTGGATTCCAAACCACTCACATGCATCCATGTCACAGCCAGGATTCGAACCTGAAGCTTGTGATACCAAAGGCCATAGAGTTAGCCAATTGGTCACTATGCCGTCATCATCAAGATTGAGAAATTCATGTATGCTAATTAGAAACTAGATTTAAAGTTCATCAATTGAGATTGGTTTGGTTTACAACTCTACGGTGATCGTGTACACCCTTTAGGCTAATTAGACCGCAACCTACAGTTTAAAGTGTATTCCGAACCGCTCACAAACATCCATGCTACCGCCAGGATTCGAACCTCAAGCCTATGGTACAAAGAACCAGAGCGCAAGTGACTTGGCCACCAGGCCCCCATCATCAAGGTTGAGAAATTCATGTATGTAAATTAAAAACTAGATTAAAAATCATCAATTAAGAGAAACGAAACATTCATTAAAAAGAAACAAAGTTCAATCATTTTTAAAAAATATACTTAAATAATTATTAAAATCCAAAACAGAGTTTCATATTGATTTAGTACTTTTTCAACAGCTATGGATTGAGTTTATTTCAGCAGACATTGTCTGTATTTGAAGTAACTTCATAAATTTCATCCCTCTTCGCAGTCTCCGGAGAGTGTAAAAACCGTAAAACGGAATTTCAGATCTTGCCACTGGCTACTTTACATGCTTCTGACGATTAGCTCCCTTCACATTTTTTTTTTTTTTACAGACTGTACAAAAAAAGATTTTAAATTGAATTCAAAATGTCTTTCTAGCTAACTATAGTTTCTTCCTTTAACTATTCATTAACTATCTGTAGTTGGAAAAAAAATTCTAAACGTTTTCTATCTTAAATTAAAATTATTTACAAATTTGTAAGTTTATTAATTCTTTAGTAACATTATCAAATATATGTTAATTAAATAAATCAATGTGATTATATAATGTTAACTGCTGATGAAATTTAATAATAACTTTGATTTTTAATTAAATACCTATGGAGACAATTGTGCATTTTAAAGAACATGAACTTTCTTTTACTTATATTCTTTAAGTATAGCCTTGATTTTAGGTTTCAATGTCATATAAAGTAATTAACATTTTTAAAAACACGAAATATCTTGTATTTTTTGAATATTTATCTAGAATAATTTTTTGGCCACGTTGCCATAGAGAAGAAAACACATTTTAAATAATACAAATATATTAATCGTAATAATTATCGTAATGTTGATTTTTTGGCTACGTTGCCATAGAGAAGAAAACACATTTTAAAGAATACAAATATATTAAACGTAATAATTATCGTAACGTTGATTTTTTTACTACGTTGCCATAGAGAAGAAAACACATTTTAAAGAATACAAATATATTAATCGTAATAATTATCGTAATGTTGATTTTTTGGCTACGTTGCCATAGAGAAGAAAACACATTTTAAAGAATACAAATATATTAATCGTAATAATTATCGTAACGTTGATTTTTTGACTACGTTGCCATAGAGAAGAAAACACATTTTAAAGAATACAAATATATTAATCGTAATAATTATCGTAATGTTGATTTTTTTTGGCTACGTTGCCATAGAGAAGAAAACACATTTTAAATAATACAAATATATTAATCGTAATAATTATCGTAATGTTGATTTTTTTGGCTACGTTGCCATAGAGAAGAAAACACATTTTAAAGAATACAAATATATTAATCGTAATAATTATCGTAACGTTGATTTTTTGACTACGTTGCCATAGAGAATAAAACACATTTTAAATAATACAAATATATTAATCGTAATAATTATCGTAATGTTGATTTTTTGGCCACGTTGCCATAGAGAAGAAAACACATTTTAAGGAATACAAATATATTAATCGTAATAATTATCGTAACGTTGATTTTTTGACTACGTTGCCATAGAGAAGAAAACACATTTTGAATAATACAAATATATTAATCGTAATAATTATCGTAATGTTGATTTTTTGGCTACGTTGCCATAGAGAAGAAAACACATTTTAAAGAATACAAATATATTAATCGTAATAATTATCGTAACGTTGATTTTTTGGCTACGTTGCCATAGAGAAGAAAACACATTTTAAAGAATACAAATATATTAATCGTAATAATTATCGTAAACGTTGATTTTTTGGCCACGTTGCCATAGAGAAGAAAGCACATTTTAAAGAACACAAATATATTCTGTAATAGTAAGGTTTATTTTTTGGCCATGTTTTTCGTTCAAAATTGTGGTGACACAAGGTTGGTGCATTATAGCAGGTCCCTTCCCATACTCCTGTTTCAGCAAAGTAAATTTTCTACATATCTGACATTATGAAATGGAATGTCCTCAGATCTAAATACCTATCAAAGAGAGAGAAAGTTGTTCAAATGGATTAAAGCTCAGAAACATTTGTTACTTTCTTTCACAAATAAAAAGAAATCGAATGTTTGAACAGGTGGTTTCAGAATCAATACACCTCAATTATACAAACTGATATTACTGTTTATTGTTGCCACTTGCATGTAGGGTTCCATGGTGCAATGGTTAGCACTCTGGACTTTGAATCCAGCGATCCGAGTTCAAATCTCGGTTTAACGTGTTTTTTTTTTCCGACGCTGTTCTACAGATTAAAAACTAATAGCTTATCTCTCTATTTTTTTTCGAATGCAGCTGGCAAATACTTAGATGGTGATCTTTTATGTCATAACGGTTGCACCGAAGTTACTCACTTAGAACTACCCAGGGTGCGATTGTAACTTGAAGATATGCTGCGGACGCCTGCAGTAACAATGCCCCCGCAAGCATCCATGGCAAAGCCGGCACTCAAAACCTGTGGTTCCAAAGGCCAGAGCGCTAGCCCCCAGGCCATCAGGTTCCACACCTATCTATGTAAAACATATATATGTCTGTCTTTAGGGTATTCCAATGCAACATAAAAACTATAACCCTTAGCGTTCTATTTTTTTTTCTTTTCTTGGTCATTTCTTTTCTGAACAATGTGACATTTTTCAACTATAACAACTATATATTCATTATACATAAGCGAAACATAATAACTACCGAGCTTTAATAATAAAAGAAAAAAGAAAGAAAAGAAAAATGAAATATATATAATTATAAGAAGGTAGGAGAAGTATTTTAAATATTCTATAAACAACAATAATCTGCTATATGTTATAAGTCATTGTTTCACTTATGAATTCTTACCTTTACATCCTTTTTAAATTTTGACTCAAAACAGTAAAAAACTTCTCATTCGCAAAACAGAATATTTGAAAGATAAATGTTTTAGGGGAAAAAAAAGCAGAGCACAATCCACTATAATCCTTTTAAGTGACAAAACAAAAATCCTAACTTGATAAGGACATGACATAAAATTTTCATCACTTTAAAAAAAATAATACGGGAACAAAAATAATATCCCATGCAATTTAACAAGCCAGATTGTAAAGTTATGCATAACTTAATAAGCAGCACTCAAAAGAGTTAATTGAGGGAGGGGATTATATGCAAATTTTAGTAGCCACTTACCACCACCATTTTCCACGGAAGTAAGGGAGAAAAATTTCTTTTAAAAAGCCTGAATCTCATTAAACCGGAACACAGCCAAACTGAAAAGTACTCCCAAGTACTCTACGGTACAAGTATCTGCAGAGTTCTATTAAAATTTTAATGAGAGATCCATCACTTAGGAGGTGCGAATATTTCACGGGGGGGGTGATTACACTGTTGACGTCCAGTCTCAACAAACTTGGCGAAATTAAGAAATAAAACGGATTATTATTATAGTAAATGGCCAAAGTGTTTAAAACACGAACATGATACGCGGAGGATAATTTGCTCAGTTTAGTGAATTATAAAAGTTTTCGTAAAGGAGAATTTAAGAGTGTGGACATTTTAATGTCGTTTTGGTCGTTAATGGCATGTCCATGTCTTCAAAATCCTAGTTTATGTGGCATTATTTTTAGACGGCTTTCGACTTACTAAATGGTTGCGAAGTTATATCGTTTTGCAGGATTAGTATTTGATCGTATTTTATTAAAACATATAACGATAATGTTTTTAAGTTTTGTAATCAAGAAGAAACACACTACGGAAATGTTTATGATTATTTAATGTTATTCGGTTGTTAATTTACACAGCTGCTGAGTTGAAACTTAACTTGTTTCCATCACCGATTTATTAAATGGTTTCGGAATGGATGCATTAGTTGTCAGGTTATGTCGTTTGCAGACTTAGTTTGATTTGTATTGTTGCCATTTGATCGTATTGTTATGTGTTTTAATAAATATTTTATTTTGTAATCAAGAAGAAACAGACCACGGAAATGTTTATTACTATTTAATGTTATTCGGTTGTTAATTTATATAATTCTTTTTGGAACTTAACTGGTTTCCATCATAGACTTATTAAATGGTTTCGGAATGGTTGCATTAGTTGTCAAGTGATATCCTTTGCAGGGTTAGCATTTGATCCCAGTTATATATGTTATAATAAATATTTTTTTTGTCATCAAGAAAAAGCACTCGACGGAAATGTTTATTATTATTCAATGTTATTCGGTTGTTAATATACATAGGGGATGAGTTTCCATCACCGACTTATTAAATAGTTTTGCAATTGTTGTATTTGTTGTCAAATGATGTCGTTTTCAGGATTAGCATTTGATGGCATTGTTATGTGTTTTAATAAATGTTGTCTTTTGTAATTAAGAAGAAACACATCATGGAAATGTTTATTATTGTTTAATGTTATTCGGTGCTAATTTACATGTTGCTAAATTGGAACTTACCAGTTTCCATCATAAACATATTAAATGTCTTTGGAATGGTTGCATTAGTTGTCAAGTGGTAGAAGAGAGAAAGAGCTGTTCAAATGTGACAAAACACATCAACACTTATTATTTTCTTTTGCAAATAAGAAGAAATCGAATGTTTGAACAGGTGATTTCAGAATCAATACACCCAAAATAAACAAACTGATATTACTGCTTATATATGCCTCACGCATGTCTGGTTCCATGGTGTAATGGTTAGCACTCTGGACTTTGAATCCAGCGATCCGAGTTCAAATCTCGGTGGAACCTGCGGGTTTTTGTTTCAGCACTGTTCTACAAATTTAAAACTAATAACCTATCTAAATAAAAAATATATGTCTGTCTATTATAAGGTATTAGAATGTTATTTTAAAACTATAATCTTTAGCATCCTAATTTTTTTCTTTTTTGGTCATTTCTTCTATTGAGCTATGCGGCATCTTTCAGCTTGTTCTCATTTTATACATAAGTGAAACATAATGATTATATATCTTTGATAATAAAAGAAAAAAGAAATAAACATAAAATGAAAAGTATCTCTATAAGAAGGTAAGAAAAATATTTAAAAAAACCCCTATAAACAACAATAATCTGCGATATGTTATAAGCCATTGTTTCACTTATCAATTCCTGCCTTTTGCATCCTTTTTAAATTTTGACTTAAAAAAGTTTTTAAAAAAAAAAAAATTCTCATTCACAAAACAGAATATTTAAAAGATAAATCTTTTTCTCAGAAAAGAAAAAGAAAAAAAAAGCAGAGCACAATCCACTATAATCCTTTTAAGTGACAAAACAAAAATCCTAACTTGATAAGGACATGACACAAAATTTTCATCGCTTTAAAAAAAAATAATGCGGGAACAAAAATAATATCCCATGCAATTTAACAAGCCAGATTATAAAGTTATGCATAACTTAATAACCATCACTCAAAAGGGTTAATTATATGCAAATTTTAGTAGCCACTTACCACCACCACTTTTCACGGAAGTAAGGGATAAAAATTTCTTTTAAAATACCTGAATCTCATTAAACCGATACGCAGCCAACTGAAAAGTACTCCCAAGTACTCTACGGTACAAGTATCTGCAGAGTTCTATTAACATTTTAATGAGAGATCCATCACTTAGGAGGTGCGAATATTTCACGGGGGGTGATTACACTGTTGACGTCCAGTCTCAACAAACATGGCGAAATTAGGAAATAAAACGGATTATTATTATGGTAAATCGGCAAAGTGTTTAAAACACGAACATGATACTCGGAGGATAATTTGAACAGTTTAGTGAATTATAAAAGTTTTCGCAAAGGAGAATTTAAGAGTTTGGACTTTATAATGTCGTTTTGGTCCTTAATGGCATGTCCGTGTCTTCAAAATCCTAGTTTATGTGGCATTATTTTTAGACGGCTTTCGACTTACTAAATGGTTGCGAAGTTATATCGTTTTGCAGGATTAGTATTTGATCGTATTTTATTAAAACATATAAAGATAATGTTTTTAAGTTTTGTAATCAAGAAGAAACACACTACGGAAATGTTTATGATTATTTAATGTTATTCGGTTGTTAATTTACACAGCTGCTGAGTTGAAACTTAACTTGTTTCCATCACCGATTTATTAAATGGTTTCGGAATGGATGCATTAGTTGTCAGGTTATGTCGTTTGCAGACTTAGTTTGATTTGTATTGTTGCCATTTGATCGTATTGTTATGTGTTTTAATAAATATTTTATTTTGTAATCAAGAAGAAACAGACCACGGAAATGTTTATTACTATTTAATGTTATTCGGTTGTTAATTTATATAATTCTTTTTGGAACTTAACCGGTTTCCATCATAGACTTATTAAACGGTTTCGGAATGGTTGCATTAGTTGTCAAGTGATATCCTTTGCAGGGTTTGCATTTGATCATAGTTATATGTGTTATAATAAAAAAAAAATTTTATAATCAAGAAAAAGCACTCGACGGAAATGTTTATTATTATTTAATGTTATTCGGTTGTTAATTTATGTAGTTGCTGAAATGTAATTTAACCTGTTTCCGTCAACGACTTATTAAATGTTTCGGAAAGATTGCTTTAGTTGTCAACTGATGTCGTTTTTACTTATAAGCATCTAAAAATATTGTGTGTTTTAATAAATATCGTTAAATTTTGTAATCAAGAAGAAACACACCACGGAAATATTTATGATTATTTAGTATTATTCCGTTGTTAATTTGGATAATTGCTGAGCTGGAACTTAACCTGTTTCCATCACCTACTTATTAAATGGTTTCGCAATGGCTGCAATAGTTGTCAAGTGATGCCGTTTGCGGATTTAGCATTTGATGTTATTGTTATTGGTTTTAATAAATGATATTAAATTTTATCAACAAGAAAAAACAGACGACGGAAATGTTTATGATTATTTAATATTATTCAGTTGTTAATATACATAGTGGTTGAGTTTCCATCGCCGACTTATTAAATGGTTTCGCAATTGTTGTATTTGTTGTCAAATGATGTCGTTTTCAGGATTAGTATTTGATGGCATTGTTATGTGTTTTAATAAATGTTGTCTTTTGTAATTAAGAAGAAACACATCATGGAAATGTTTATTATTGTTTAATGTTATTCGGTGCTAATTTACATTTTGCTAAATTGGAAATTACCTGTTTCCATCATAAACTTATTAAATGTCTTTGGAATTTTTGCATTAGTTGTCAAGTGGTAGAAGAGAGAGAGAGAGAGAGAGCTGTTCAAATGTGACAAAACACAGCAACACTTATTATTTTCTTTT